TTCTAAAAAAAAAATACAAAAGTTCTACAAATGATAATGTGACATGTTATAGAAAAATTAGTTCAATATATGGAAACATACCTCAAGATGTTTATTTCTTTTTGCAATCTCACTTGGTATCTTTCCATCTTTGGTTTGTAGCATTTTATTAGCTCCAAGTTCAAGCAACTTCAAAACTACATTTTTATGACCCTGACGTGCTGCCCATGTTAAAGCCTGTAAGTGGGGGAAAAAAGATTGTTTAAAGAAAAGGAGTATATATGAGACAGATACAAAAAGTTTTCAATAGTATTTATGGCACAATAAAAAAAGAACATGGTTAATTAATGGAATGATGCAATCTCTTCTTTCACAATGTAATGTAAACGTATTTCTAAAGTTGTAATTGCAAAGCAGACTGCAGTGCTCACTGATTTTATAAATCCAAGCAACAGTTACTGATGTTATGGAAGAAAATGATTTATCTGGTAATCACGGAAGTGTTTTCAATTGAAAAAAGAACTCTTATGTATATTTTAGAGTCCAGGCTTTGTTGTCTGTTATAACTTCTTTTGTCAGGAGGGAGGACTAAGACAGTCAGTTCATTCCTTTATTTCTATTTCAGCTATTGCTTTTTTTTTTTTTAACCAAACAGTAATTATATCCCAGTCCTTCTGTAATTACTATTTCTTAAAATTCTTTTTGTAGATTACTGATAAAAACAAACTATTGATGTCATAGAAATAAAAAGGAACATTGTATAAGTGTTTCTCACAGTATAACCATTCTCATCCTGGGTATTAACTTCTGCTCCATGAGCAACAAGGAGAGCAACAACCTGAGGGTGACCATCTCGTGCAGCATACATGATTGGAGTCATAAGTCTCCTAAGGAGGAGGAAGAAAAGAAACATTTGTGTTAATGCTGCCATTAACAACTACTCAATATCATTAATTTAACCACACACAATACCATTAAGTACTGCTTTGAAAACAAAAAGAAATGAAAGCTTTTAATAATGCAGGTGATTTAAAAATCCAGTCTCCTGGTAAATAAGTAAATGTGAAAGAGATTAACACTTTTAAAGTATTGAATGCTTACACAGCACCCTCTAGTGAAGAAATGTATCTTCAAAATCACTAAGTAAGCCACACCGTTGTAATACAAAGTTTCACAAATGTACATATTCGTCTAGAAAATTATCAGAGTATCCACACACACTATGTTTATGCTGGGAATATAGTGATGAACGACACAAATAAGATCCCTGTCATCACAAGATTTGCTCATACTAAATGTTCATTACATTTTATTTTACAGATTGCTGAAATAAAAATATAAATGGGATTAGGGGTATGGGGGGGTAAACTCACAACTAAAGGACACGGTGAGCATTGTAGAGGGGAAGGGCATGCCTCTAACCCCTGCTTGGGTGAGGCAAAGACATAAAATGTAACCAAAATGTTTGTACCCTCATAACACTCTGAAATAAAAATTAAAAAAAATGAAAAACTGAAAAAAAAATTTAAGTTTAAATCAGGGGTAATTAAATTTTGTCTGTAAAGGGCAAGAGAGTAAATATTTTAGGTTTTGTGGCACATACAGAGACTTGTCACAACCACTCAACTCTGCCGTTGTAGCATGAAAATAGTCATAGACAATACATAAACAAATGAGCATGGCTGTGTTCCAATAAAACTTTAGAGGTCTATCAACCTCTGGATTTGAGTATCAGCCGTGCAGTCAGTCTGCTTAGGTTCAACTCTAGCCTTCAACATTTACTGGCTGTGTAACCTTAGATAAGTTTCTTAAACTCTCACAGCCTCAGTTTCTACAAATTTATATGGACATTAAAATGGTTCCTACATTTGTGGTACCTATTTGTGATATTATCATAATCTGTGATAATAAAATTAAAATGTTCAGTAATAAGAATACCAGGCACAGAGTAAATATTGTTATTATTAGCTATTTTTTATTAACTGTATCTTGTTTTCTTTCCTTGCAAAAACAGAGTGCTCGTAACAAAAATCTTTGCCTTATTCCTGACAGTAATAGAAATACTGCTACTATTTGTCCACTAAACATATTTGTTTAGGCTTCAGATAGTATACATATTTATGAAGTTAAGAAACTACCAACCTAATCAAATTTTACTAAGGTTAAGAACATCAGAAATAGATCTTAAATTTTATAAAATGCCTTTCTGGCATCTATTATAATGATAACTATCTTTTAAAAAAAATCCCTTGAGCTATTTATGACATTATTTCCCTAATATTGAACATTTTTTCATAGTGATATGAATCCCATTTGATCATAGTATATTACTCATTTAATATTTCCTAATAACATGAAATTTGCTGATATTTCATTAAGAATTTAGGATTTTTGTATATACGTTCAAAACTGAGATTGATTTATAAGGCTTTTTGGAATGGATCATTTTTAACTGGATTAAATCAGTGTTATATATCCTTTATAAAAAAAGAATTGAAAGGATTCTTTTTCTTCTTTGTGTTTAGACAGTATTAGCATAATCTATTCCTTGGAAGTTTAAAAAAAGTAATCTGTTAAACTCTGAGCCTAACACTTCTTTTGGAAATCAGCTTTCTGACAATTTTTCTCAAAAGATACCCAAAAGTCACAACATAAAAAAATTTTAAAAGCATAAACAAAAAATAAACTAGAAATAGCATTTGCAGGCAGATGCAGTGTGGCTCATGACTGTAATCCCAGCACTTTGGGAACCCGAGGTGGGAGGTTCGTTTGAGGTCAGGAGTTCGAGAGCAGTCTGGGCAACATAGTAAGACCCCCATGTCCACAAAAAAATTAAAAAAAAAAAAAGAGAAAAGAAATAGCATCTTCAATACATATAACAGTTATAAAAACTAAAAGATCCAATATACAAAAAGTATATATAAATCAGCAAGAAACATGTGAACCACCAAACAGAAAAACTGCAAAGGACACAGGCAGTTAATACACAAAGAAATATAAAGGACTAACAAAAATGTGGGAAACTAATAAGTTTATTATTGAAAAGTATGTGAAGTAAAATGAGGCATCATTATTTGCAAATCAGATTGGAAAACTAAGAACAAAAAATATCCAGTGCTGTCACCATGTATGTCCTCTCAAATACTGTTGGTGGTAACATAAATTTATTCAACTTTTTCAAGAGACAATTTGGCATGACTTATCACAATCCTAAATATACATATACCTTTGTTTTGGCAACTCCACTTTAGGAATCTGTTCTATAGAAAAATCTATCCAAGTTGCCAAAGATGTTCATTACAGTATTTTTTGTAATACGAAAAATCTGGGAACAATCCAAATGTTCTTCAATAAAATATTGGGTTAAGTAATGATATCACATCCATACAGTGGAATATTGTATAGCCATTATAAAGAGGGAAGTATATCTATACATACTGGCTGGTACAGTGTCCATAAAACACAGTTCAGTTAAAAAAAAAAAGTCAGTACAGTACAATATAAACCCCATTTAAAAACAAAGAGAAACAAAACAAAAGCCCAAACATATGGAAGAAATTCTGCAAGAATATATAACAACGTGCTATAGAGTATGGAAAATGGAAGACTTTTTACTTTCTAAGTTACATAATTTTTAAAAATTTTAACAGAAACCTTTTATGATCAGAATTTTAATAAAAATGAAATGTGAAAATTCTATCTTGAGGTACAATGGAACCAATGTTCTTTAAATTCAAGCAAATCTACTTGCTATTTTCAATTCTGAATACATAGCCCACAGCTTTGGTAAGAGCAAAATGGCCTTAACTGGACCTCATGGCTCCAATTCATCCTCAACCTGATGTCAGAATAACTTTTATAAAGTACTATTATGTTCATTCTTCTCCTTAAATTGTTCAATAGCTTTCAGGATGAAATTCGTATTTTTTAGTATGGATTACACAGGTTATAGCACAGCCATTGCCAAATTCTGACCTACTTTCTACTGTAATTATCTCGTGATCTAGTTACAGTATTTACAAGTACTCGAATGAAACATACTTTCTCATCCTTCTCTGCCTGCACATGCACCTCCCTCTAAACTATATATTCATGTTTGCCATCTTCAGTTAGCTAACTCTTAGTCATTATACAAAAGTAAGTTTGAGAGATAAACATTTGTCATCTCCACCTCAGTTAAGTTTTCCCACTTTCTCTTCCTGGAAATCCCCTCTACTATTCTAATTTTAATATGCTGTAAGTGTCTATAGTCTTGGAATCTCTTCCACAGTATTGTCAAATTCTTGAGGCAGGGACAGGGTGTTTCATCGTCTATCTCCTAGTGCTTAGCATATATTAAGTGTTTAACAAAAAAGTTTAAAAAGCCAGTGATAATTGTTTTTTTTCTTTATGTACCAGACTTCTTCAAAATTTTTAGCAGCCAAGAGTTGGTTAAAGAGAATAAAGTTTATGTATATTATATAACCATAATGAAAATTTTTTTCTGGATGATACAAAGCCTCACTCACTTTCTGGTTTTTTCATTTCAATAAAATGTCCACTAGAGGGCATACAAATAAAGGCAGAAACAAAATTCTCAATATGACAGAAAAAATATACCTTTATAATGACGTATTTATCACTTCTCTGTACTAAGGGTAAAATGGTTGATTTGTCTTCATGTCATATTTTTATGAATGGTTCAGTATTATCTACTCTATTTTTAATCTGCTTAAAACAATGAGCTTACAGTTGGGAGATAAATGAAACAACTCTGATAAAGGAAATTTTGGCAATGATAAAATGCTAGGAATTGGACATCCATTTCTAGCTATCAGAATAATTTTATTAGATTAAACATTCCACTGACAAAGGCTGTAAAAGCTAATAAAATACAAAATACGTTTGAAGGCACAGTAGAAAAATCAAGGCTGCCAGAACATGAGAAGCCAAGATCCTAGAAAGAAAAGAAGCATTTGTTGAACTGAGTCCTACATCCTCTGTCATTTTTTCCCTTGAGATTTCTTTCAAATCCTGGGTAGTAGCATTAGCAGAAAGCTGTACTTTTAAGCCTTCTCATGGAGCTAGACATACAAAAATTGGTCAGGGCTTCCAAAGCACTCAGAACTTCAAGGATCAAGAATATAGAAAAAAGAAAATAACAGAAAAGTGACCCTGTAGAGAAGTGATCTGATGCGCTTTTGCCTTCAAAGCATTTGCAGATTCCTAAACTGCAAAAAGTGTGTGTGTGTGTGTGTGTGTGTGTGTGTGTGTGTGTGTGTGTGTGTGTGATGAGTGAGTGATGGGGGTGGAGTGGTAGGAGAGGAGAGGAAGACTACAAACACCAAGCTGAAACCAGCTGCTAAGTGGGCTTTCACTTTCAGCATTCCCATGAAGTTGAAGAAAGAAAAATTGGCATTCATGACCCTCAAAAGGAGAGTGGCTCAGGTAAACACCCCAAGTTTGAACTGATACCCCTGAAAGGCTATATGGGAAATAAACTAATCCTGAAACCCAATCCTGAACCATCTTAATCCCTCATTAGATCAAGGTGATCTGCCCTTGTTCTAAATATCAGTCAGAAGAATATTAAATATCTTCTGAAAGCAAACAGACCTGTACAAATGTTTATACACAATATCCAGCATTCAATAAAAAATTACCAGGCATTCTAGGAGACAGAATCAAGTGACTGAAAGAAAAGAGAAAACAGATAATATAAATAGTCCTATAGATGTTATCAGATACACACTTTAAAATAAGTGTGATAAATATTGTTCCAAAAAATAGAAGGCAAAAAGAAAAATTTAATTAAAGACCAAAACTTTGGTCTTCGTATATCTGGTATATATTGACTGATAAAAAATCAAATTCTTAAATGAACTAATTTTATGAGTTGGTAGCATAATTTTAACATAATCAGTGTATATAACATTATTATAATCAATGAGATTTATG